GTAGATTTTTATTTGCTGATTACTTTTTTTTAATATTTGCAGGTTTACGTGATAGGTAAGTAGGTTCTATTAGTATGTATGTACATATGTATGTATTAGAGGTTTACGCCGACAGGCTTTGCGGCGGCGGCGTGTTCAACTTCAAAAAGAATCGGCGGCGGCGGCGACGCCGGCGCGTCTGGAAACGCCGGCGCTACTGCCCATAAGGTAGAGTCCAAAGAGCCATGAGGCTTCTAATCTCATCATGTCATCAGATTATAATTCTATTTAATTCATTCATTGAATTCAAATGTTGAGTGACTGCTGCTGATGGATGGGCGAACAGAAGAAAGTCTATATAGTATATACATTAGGTTTCCCATTGAAAATGATTTTTTTTGAAAATTTAAAGACCCTACCCCCTAATTTGATTCGTTTTTATGAGAAATATTATTGCCTATTTTTATAGATTTTTTAAAGGCCATTTAGAGGTCGCGGCCTGTCGATTTAGGTCAGAAAATACGATTTTCTAGATTCGTGAGTTTTTGAGAGACTATTTTTGCTTGAATTTCAATGAATTTTGTATATTTTGACCATCGATAATTTCCACAATTTGAAAATATGTAGTACTAATGCACAAAAAAAACTATTTTCGATGGGCACCCTAATATACATAAATCTCTATGTACTCTAAAAATGCGTATGTACTATTTCAATTTAAAGAAATAAAAAAATTTAAAGGTTAAGTTATTGGGGTAATTTATGTCGCTATCAATAAAGTTTTGCAATAAGCTTTCAACCGTTATGTTAAATTACGGAGTTCTTACGAATTTTTGCGGGTTATATATTGAAAATAAGGTTGGCCTACTTTTTTCCAAAAGTTTAACCCATCAACTCCCACCACAACGGGCCTTTTTGACCCACTGTTTGAAAAATGGCTTATAAATAGTTAAATTTCCAATAATATATTAAGTGCCAAATTTTTCTAAGGAGAACAGAATGTAATGCAAAATAATAGTAATTTTTACCAAAAAGGGGGACTTCAACTCTGTGTAGAAAATATTGCTATGCGCGGGAGCAAAACCTTCCTGGGGTTTGACCACTACTTAGGAAAAAAACTTTTCTACCCTATTCGACCCTAATTTAACTGTAATAAACGCTGTCGATCGAAAAACATGTTACCTATATATTTTTCTGAGTTACGCTTTTTTTTTAATGTTCAGTGGCCCAAATTATGACAAAAAAACATCTTTTAAAAATGTAATTTTCATTTCGTAAAATAGTGCTTTTATACGAGTAGTTAGTTAGTTCCTTCAAACGATGTATTTCAATGTGCATACAACATGAAAATTTTGTACAAAATTCCCTAGGCGCCGAACGCCGCCGCCGCCGCCGCCGCGCCGATATTTTCGTAACTCGGCGGCGGCGCGTGAGAAATGACAAAAAACGGCGGCGGCGGCGGCGTGGCCCGGCGGCGTATACCTCTAGTATGTATATATGTTTATATGTATTTATCTCGTCATTATATACTGCAAACTGTGGGACTCGGTGACTTACTCTGGAATCAGGTGCACTAAGGTCCTCCGGTAGTAGATCTGGAATCTGGAACTGAAATGAACTTATCTGCATTTTTTTATTAGCTATCTGGTGAAACAGCTAGAATTTTTACACAATCCAAGAATCCGATGAAATATGTAGTTGTAAAACTGAAGTATTGTAAGCCCTTACCTAAACCACGATTATTAATCTGGTGGGCTAGTTCAAATGGGTATGTATTGGGTAGCTCTCGGAAAAAAAGAAAACTGAGTTGGTGAACGGTAGATCTATCACAAATCTCACTCTTTCTCGGGATCCTCATACTGGAAGAGCTGCAAGGCGGGCTTTCGGGGTTTCCATTATGCAAGAAAAGGGCCACTTAATCTGAAACTAGTCGATCTGCGGACTTGCAATTCATCCAATATAAGGGAACGTGGTAATAACCACGGTAAGGCGAAACGCAGCTTCCATAGACAGTAGACGAGGTGGATCCTCTCCTGGATGTATGATACTATAATCAATCTTATTGTGCGGGCCATCCCCTGGTGGAATTCAACATAAAATATGCCGAAGATCACTACGATCTCTTCAACAGCACAAAGTCAATCTTTATTTGGACCCAAATGTGCGGAAGATTCATTTAGCATTTCATGCGCAAATGCCCAACAGTCTGGAAAAAGCGCCTCCAACTTTTTCGAGGTCTTATACAGCTTGCAAAAAGCTCTAAGGTCTAGAAGGATTCGACAGAAATTTAAGATGGTTTAAAGACATTTAGGGACAGGCCTGGGAAAATTCTGTCTTAGGCATCACCATTTACCTTTGCGCAGGTTTTGAGCGAACTCCTTTTACAGAGATAGCAGTCTAACCAACCTAACGGCCATTCAGCGAGGCACTTGGGTCGCTTATGGTGCGATCAAAACTGCTCAAGGAATGATTGACCTCTCTGTCGGTCACCTAGGATTAATTCTAAATTAGGCGGATTTGGGTTGCAGGAACATCCCAGGAAATTGCATGGCACATAAAAGGTAAGGAATTGCGCCCTGGAGATCATGTCTATTGTGAGGCAAGGCATGTGAGTTCCTGTGGAAATCTTTGAATTGCTCCTGGACAGATACGACTCTTCGTCGGCTACGCGAGAGCTGAACGAAACCCGCTAAATGCAAAGTTGCTTAGTCCTTCTGACCGTTAGCCGATCGAAGGCGATTAAATGAACTTCTTCAGCTGGCTAAACGTCAAAGCGGGAGTCAATCCTCAGGCCCCACAATAGAAGGGGAGATCGGGCTTATTTCTTCTCAGACCCGTAGAGTTAAGGGGTCGAGAAAATGAAGATGGAAGTAAAAAACTCGATTATATTTTTTTTTTTGGGTAGGGGGCCGTCACATACTTAGTACGGGGCCCGGCTTTTCTTTTGGCTGCCCCTCCATCTACGCTATTTTGTCGGTCGTTTACATCCACAGCTGTTTGGGAACAACAACCCAAGCTAAGCTAAAGTAATTTTACCTAACCTTCAGTCTTTTTCAAGAAGACATAAAAAATATCTATAATTGAAAACTTGTATTAGTAGGTTCATTTTTTTAACATCTCAGTAAAAGTAATGTCGCACTAAAACACCCATCATGGAAGAGTTGAATCAACTATTGGGGAACCCAAGTTCCAGATTTTCTCGCTGTTATCCAATCCATGTTATTTCGAAACTTCAAACGACATTAACACATTTGACCCCCTGAGTGTGTTGATAATGTTATCTGCTATTTTTTTTTTAGTTTTACAGCCAATTTTACGTAAACATTTTAGGAGAAAAATTACTTCAATTTTTTTTTTAAGTTTATATGGAAATAGACAGAAATTAAAAAATCATTTTCCATTTAAATTGCTGGTGAAACCGGCTGTTAAGGTTTTTCGCTAGCTATTTAAAAAACATGATAATTAATTGAATGGAAACGAAGACATGGTATTGCAAATTTGTACCCACATACATAGATTCTCAAAGAAAGCATCTAATCATAGACTCATACCTATACAATTTTAATTCTGAATGTTTCGTAAGATGATTCTTATATTTTGTAACAGACTGTTAAGAAATCGGTACATATACCTACTCATAGCAACGTTATTGGCACTAAAATAAAATGTATTCTTCAACTGCTCTTCGCAATGTTATTGGTACTTAATTTTTTAATACAAACAGAAATTTATATGTACAGTCATACATACCAACACTTGCGCATTCAAACACTCACACATGCATAATTGCGAACATCTTTATAGGTAATCTGCTTTCACAGAAATGAATTTCCTTTAGTTGCTGTCTCATTTTTCAATGCACACATTTGCTCACTTTACCAGTCCCCACATATGTATGTATGTATGTACAAGTTCATGCATGCATACATTTGGATGCCTCCAAGCAGATTTTGGGGTTGCAATTGCGCACAAATACACAACCAGACCAATTTCGCCGGAAGTATTGTCATTACAATTGTATTGTTGTATTTGTATAAATACAATTCGTTGTTTGTGGTATTTTTGTTGTCGTTCCGTTTCCATTTCAATTGCTCAGAAACTGTTTATTTGTTGTTTCATTTGCTATCTCGCTTACACGCACACAATACGTCCATGTTTTGTCACCATTTCCACACACACACACCAATCCACTGGCGCGTTCTCCGCAATCAACTCAAACGCATACGCCCATCTGACATGCCATTTTCCATTTCCATTTCCATTCCCATTCTCATGGCAAAGTCTCGCACTGCCATTCGTACACTCGCAATTGCATTCGTATTCGTAATTCATACATTCGTATTGCACACATTCACAATCGTAACGAGGATAAATAGAGCAGCAGCAGCAGCGATACGAATCGAACGCAACAGCGATCGTTGTGTCACAACAACAACATGAACGCAATATGCCAAGCAAACACAGCAAATAAACAACAGACAGTGGCGACAGCAGCAGCAGTTGAACTTTTCTTTTTTTTTATTTACCTGTCTGCGCCGCTAGCCCCACACTGAGCCACCGCACAAAATCACCACACCACCCTCACTTGCTGGAACGACGCGCCGCTCTTTTGCCTACCAAGCGCTAACCTCCGCTACTCACTCATCGACACTTTACTCCTCCTCGTCGACTTAGATTTGCATTTTTTTTTTTTTTTTCAATTTCTTATCCCATTTCAATCCCCTCTAACATTTTTAATGCAGCGCGCGTTGCTGTTGTGCCACTGTGGAGTACAACTACAAATACAAATACAAATACATTTCTCAAAGCAAAGCAAACACACAATTACAGCTACAGCCGCACACTCCAACCATAACAGAAAATATACAGTTGCAGATACAATTGGGGAAATGTGTGTTGTATTGCTTTTGCTTTTGTTGTTGTTGTTGCTGTTGCTGTTGTAGTTATTGTTCTGGTTTCATGCTCGCGCAACGGCAGCCAGCACACATTTCAAATCGGTTTCATTACGAATTTGTCATTCGTAAGCGAAGGTAATACAATAAAAATTTTTGCTGTGCGCGCTAAAACTCTGCAACTCGTTCTGTTCGTCGTCGCGTCGCGTTGCGTTGCGTTGCCGCATTGCCGTGTTGGGCAGTGTTGTTTTGCCGTTGACATTGCCATTGTGGCTCAAACGCGTTCGGTGTTTATTCGTAGGCTGCGCAAGCCATTTGGTTATTCGGTTCAGGTGTAGAGTAATCACTGGTAGGGACGGTTTAATTTCGATGAGCGCGCGTTTATGTATGTGTGTGTGTCTGTGCATGGCAAATGTACGGAGTGTTGTTTTGCATTTGCCGTCGCCAATTGGCGACATTCGTCAAGTGAGCGGTGTCAGCAACAGCAACTGACAAATACTAATCGGTTGGTATCTATTAGTGCGGATTGTTTTTTTATAAACAAATAATTCGATTTGCGTAAAACTAATTAAGAAAATTTTAAATGTGTGTTTTGTGAACTTACAAGTGGAGGTGAAAAAAACAACGAATTAATTGGTGACACAGTGTGTATCATTGAAACTAAGTAGCAGTGTTTAAAATTGTTTTGTGGTTAAAATAATTTTACGTAAAAATTTATGAAAAATAAGTGGAACTTTAAAAATAAATTTATGCATTCAAACATCATCAAAAAAAAAACATTGAACATTAATTGTAAAAAGTAGTTGCCGCAATTATGTAGGCATTTTATTTTGCCAGATAGTTTACAATTGAAAGCTTAAAAAAGATTCGTAGTAGGTAAAGATTTAAAGGGCGCAAAATACAAAAACTGCAGCAGCTTAAATAAACCCGTTTATGGAAGAACGATTGCCTTATTTTCTTTGGTAATTTTCTTCAAAGGGGAACAATTTCGTATTGTTGGTGGATGAATCTCCCAACAGGGTGAAAAGATGATATGCATATTTTGGAAAAAATTTCGGCCATCGCTTGTCAATTGTTGTTTGTAGACAAACCGGTTTTCCAAATATAAGTATTTGACAAATTTTTTTGTTAAATCTTCATTTCAAAATTTCGAAAATTTAACCAATTGGACATTATATTCGGGTCTTCCCTTGCATGAAGTTCTTCTGGCACCAAAACACTAAACTATTACAAATCACAATAAATATTTTTCATTATTTCTGTTGCTAGGAAAGGAGTGTGGCGGATGCTGTAAATTTTCTAGAAGAACTAAATATATGAGCTTTTTTTTCTTAAGACCTGCTCACTGATTTAAGAAATTTTGATAGGGGAAAATTTTTTTTCCCATTTCTGGTGCATAATTTAGTATCAATTTTTAGTTTCCCTTGAGAGCTACAGACAGGTCTTATAAAAAAATTCTAAATTTGAGTACAAAAAGGCACGCTTTCTGGTATTCCACTACGTATTAACTTGTAAAACGAGTTCTGAAAGAAAGAAAATCTTCATTTAAACACTAGTCAACGCGAACTTCTCGAAATATCATGTCAACCGACCTCAGTTTTGAGAAAAAGATAAGTCACCTGCAATGCGTCCAGCACACTTCTCCGGTGATATTAACAAACTTAAATTAGTTAGACCAAACCCTAATTTTCTCTATAAAAAAAGTTATGTACTTGTTTTTGTCATATCACGGTAGGCCTGACCTAATGAGTGGAGCTATGCAATGCCTTCGTTCCAACTGACATAAAATTTTGTGAATGCCCTTCAAAAACAAATCGTGAAAAAAGTTAAACAATGCCATATTTTTTTTCTACTTTTTGAGCTCAACGTCCGGTTTTCGCCTAAGAAGAATACGAAAGATTGTGTGTTTAGCAAAAGTTAGTATTAAAACTAACATAAAAAAACTTATAATGTCATCGGCGATACTACAAAACGTGCTATGTCATTTATTATCTATCACCTGTATTTGAACGCTCTTGTTAAGCGTTCATCTTCATCAGCCAAATGAATACAGGTTTCTCTTCAGTTTTTAAGAGAGTATGTATACCGATGCACGGCATAGGTAAGAAACCATCTAAGCGCCAAAGCTAATAATGGACATACAGTCGAGATTCGATGGTCCGACCACTCGATAATCCAAATATTCAGCAAACCGAACGGCTGTTCTCATAGCATTACCTACTCAGTAATCTGAACTAATTGCAATTCTATAATCGGAAAATGCATTTGAAATCAAAAAATACTTAGAGGTCGCTCAAAGCGCCCAAAATTTTCCATGTATTTTATATGGGGAAAAAACAACTTTTCGTAGAAATGGTATAGAATCAATAACAATCAATATTTTCCTACCAGAAAACTCTGTTTATCTGCAGGAGATTACCAATAATAATACCCAATTATGTATTTAACCATTTTTTCATCGCAACTAAAATTTATAGGTCCGCCATAAACCCACAAAAACCCCGAAAAATTCAATGGGGGTACAAATAAAAAGTCGTTGTTATTAAAAAAGTTAAATAAACAACTAGGTACTATTATTGATAGTCTCCTGAAGAGAAAAACAGTTTTCCGATAGAAAAATATTTATTTTCAAGAATTCTTTACCATTTCTACGAAAACTTTTACTTTTCCCATATAAAAATACATGGAAAACTTTGAGCGCTTTGAGCGACCACTAAATATTTTTGATTTCAAAATAAAAAATAGGAGTATACTTTTTTCGATATAGAACAATCCTAGGGGGTGAGAGCATTACAATTCCGACTTTACTGTTTTTCGACCACCCTATTGTGCATATTTATCAGTTTATGTGGTGTGATGATCGTGATTAGACAAGAAATGAAAAGTAATTTTTTAAAGTACATACTTATTTGCGTTACCTCTAATATGTAATTTTATAGGTCTCTCATAAATGAAATGTTTGATTTTTTTTACAAAATATTGTGGTTTCTCTAGATTTTTTCGACTATTTGAATCCGCTCTGGAATCATTAGTTCGGATGATCGAGTTTTGACTGTACTTAGAACGTTTGGCAGTATCATCAACGTAATGCGCTTAATAATAAAAAAAATTCCTAAAGGTGAAAAATTGGCATGTAAAGCTATCTTATTAGTTTCCATTAAAATCACTAAAAGCATCTCATACTTTTCTGATTATTTATCGTCAGAGTCATACGATCTTGCAAATCAATAATAAAAACTTTGTAACTTAAGTTGCGAAATGGCCTTTAAATATGGCAATTAATTTAAAATAATAACCAAAAACCATTAATTTTTTTGGTTTTAGGGCCTGGGAAAGGAACTTGTATACATCTAGGAAACGCCCCTAAAGTTCTAGAAAAAATGTGAAATTTCAATAAAATTTGAGTTTTGCCCATTATAAAAAAATACGTCTTTGCGGAAATTAAAATTCTGTTAAAAAACCAAAAAAAGAATAGTTTTCGATTGTGTCTCACACGAAAAGAATTTGTTCAGCTAGCGTCATTACTTAAAAATTTTAACTAGAAAAAACACTAACAACCAAAAAGAAAGAAAAAATCTATCTCCAACTAAAATAAGTGGGCAAATTAAGGCTTGAAGATAGTTTTGTTCTTTTGATAAAATATTTCTACCATTTACAGTCCAACTCCTCTCTAACGAACTTCTGCTTAATGAAGTCTTTTATATTACTATTATTTAACTAGTTTCGATATATGTACCGAATTTTTCTTTATACAGACAATTTTTGCAGCCTTCACTTGAAAGGGGATGCGTTTCATATTCCATATAATGAATTTATCCGAACGAGTTTTCTTTATGCATCTGTATGTAGATAGTTTAAAAAAAAGTATAATGTGTTTTCAAGGGAGCCACCAAAACTTGAAAAATACAATTACAAAGGTTAATTTCTATCGAAAATGTGCCATCGCTCACATTTTTGGCAGGAGATATTGCTTTACTTCTACATGCCGCCATAATCAGTTAAGAAATGTTCCAGCTGCCGATTCAAAAACGTCCTATCTCAGCACATTTTCAATACGTTTTCAAGTGATATATGTAGGTCGTTTTAGGTATAGGTCTGAGATAGGGTATTTTTGAATAAAATTCTGAAATAGGTCGTTCTTTAAAAGTTTTTTGAGATAGAGCGTTTTCGAACTGGCTGCCGAGATAGGTCGATCTTTCACTCATTAGTCGATATAACGGTGTATTTTTCAGCTTTTTTGCGATTCGTTATAAAATGCATATTTGATCGGGATTTCACAATTCTATCAAAATCGAATTCAACGATCTCAAAAGCGGTTTGCCACGTTTATGGAATTTGTCACCAATAGTGCAATATTATTTGTAGTTTGATGGTTAAAAAGATATCAGCTTTCACCATGTATTGATAAAAATTCAAGTTTTTTTTTTATAGATTTTGGCCGATACTCTTCTTTAAAATCCGTTCCAAGTATTTAAAGGATAATTATTCAATTCGGTCCTACTATTTTTGAACATAATCGGTAGAAAACGTCCCACTGCTCAGCGGCACAGGTTAAATATCAACCGATTGCAAAATAAAAAGGGCGGGTCTGGCTGAAAAAAACTTTGCACCGCCCTAATATATTCATGCTTCTCGTTATTTTTTTTTATATAACAAGTGCAATTTACAAAAAATGATTTTTTGATATTTTGTTGCTAACGGTCTGCCGCATTTTATTTCATAAGAAACTCATGGCAACATACAAATCTGTATGGAAAAAAAGAGCAAAAATTCGTGACCAAAAAAAGTTCTAAAAAATCAAAGACATTTTTTAGCCGTTTGAAACTTGCACATCATCAGACTAAAATTTTCTAAAGACTCAGATTAAAAAGTTGAATTTTTGATGAAAATTTGTTGAATTTTCCTAAATTTTGTGTAAAGTTTGGAACTGTGATTTATATGATTTGGTTAAAGCTTAGATGGTAGATATTTTTTATAGAAAACAAATGTTGCTTAAAAAACATTACAAATATTAGAAAAAAAATCAACACGTGGTCATTTGTTTGAGTCACTATATGTACATATGTATGTATCTACGTATGGCACAAAAATCAAAAGAAAAAAGAAATTTTTAGGCACTAATTCAAGAGATATATATTAAAATTTTTGCTAGTTCTAATATCTGAGTTTACACTGTAACACACATTTGAGTTAAAATATCAAACACAAAGTACATATTAGGTACCTATGTATGTATATTCCAAACTTTACATAATGCATACATATGTATGTATGTATGTATGTACTTTTCAAATAAAAATCCAGAATCTTCGAATTTTTCCATAAAATCAACAAACAATCCCTTTATACATACATACATACATATATCTTTCTCACACAGCAATCACTGACAAATAAAAGTCCACAAAAGTTGAAAAACAAAAACAAATAGCGACAACAATAATACCAACTTCGCAGCCAATGTCAAACGTCTGCCTCTACCTACCTCTCTGAGGCTCCACTAAAGTCACCGCCGTTAAATACACAACGAATGCTCCACAAAAATACCCTAAAGCTTGCGCCACAAACAATTCTCAAATGGCACCACCTACATACATACATATCTACATACATACATATTTCATTTCCAATTGTATTTTCAACC